GGAATTAAATGGTATGTGCAGCCAATGTGATCACAGAACAATTTTTTTTGTTGAAAATTGGAGTGTGAAAACAAAATACTTGGCCAAATCTGAATGAGTTTTTATATCCTGTTAATTGGCAGTAATCCTTTTTTTTTTTTTTTTTTTAATTTAAAAAATACCAATTTGCTTGTTTCATATAATAGCAAGCAAATTGAGTGATTGATATTATTTTGATTTGGACTTATTTTATGCTGTGTTAAAATGCGCATTTCTTCATTGGTTCTTTTTACTGTGCACATGTATAGGTGCTGATGTATGAATTTTAGCTGGAAATTAGTTTCACTTTAGAATGTCATGATTCTGCTTAATTTGTGCATTTTAAATCATTGTCTGCAGATTATGATAGAATTATTAAAAACATTGAAAGAGGGGAAGCTAGAATTTCTCGGAAAGATGAGATCATGAAAGCTATTGGGAAGAAGTTGGACCGCTACAAGAATCCTTGGCTAGAGTTGAAGATACAATATGGGCAAAACAAAGGGAAGCTGTACAATGAAGAATGTGACAGATTCATGGTACATTTATATTGTCTTTCAATTTTTTTCTCTAGGTGTAGCTCCACTGTCCTTCCATTTTTTCTAAAAATTATTTTGATATAAATTTACAGATATGCATGGTTCACAAACTTGGCTATGGGAACTGGGATGAGTTAAAGGCAGCATTTCGAACATCACCCTTGTTTCGATTTGATTGGTTTGTTAAGTCTCGCACTACTCAGGAACTGGCAAGGAGGTGTGACACCCTCATTCGGCTGGTAGAAAAGGAAAACCAAGAATATGATGAGAGGGAGAGACAGGCTCGCAAAGAGAAGAAACTTGCCAAAGTTAGTTTCTCTTCATATTGTGTGTTAATAGTATAGAATTCATCTATGATTTTTCCTCGTGCTCAAATTTAACAATTCTTTCAGAGCATGACCCCATCAAAGCGTGCTTTGTCAAGACAGACAGAGAGTCCATCTTCTTTGAAGAAGCGCAAGCAGTTAACCATGGATGATTATGCAAGCACGGTATGCATAGTTTTTAAATGTGTTATATTCCTTGTTGATTACATTATATAGAAGTTTCTTGCTGCGTTTTTACTGAAGCAGATCATGCTGTTGTTGCAGGGGAAGAGGAGAAAATAAATAGATATATGCTCTAAATTGCATAGGATAACTGGGGTTGTTGGGTTTTAATTTTGACGTGGCCCAGACATGACAAAGGCCGTGCTACCAACCTCTTTGATTTATGTAGGCGTTGAATGGCTAGTTAGAGAATATCATGTAGAAATCGGATGATGTAAGTATGTAAATCTACAAACAAATCTTTAGATTTGAATAGCTAGTTCAATGAATATATGTAACTTTAACTTGATACTTATATAGACATACATTAAGCTAATGGGTCTGGCCATTGAATTTGATGTCAAAATGATGTTTTGTACTTGTATGTTATAAGTAAAATTCTGGGGCGAAATATTGAGATTTGAATATAACTGACATGGTTACAATTTGGATTGGCACAAGTGTGATATAAACGAAAATAATTGGCTTCGATCACGTAATTTTGTGACCAAGACAAGTGTGTTGACGAACCTCCTCGGAGCTGATCTTTTAACGGTAATGGTGAGATCTGATGCGTAAGTATGTGGAGGAAGGCTACGAAAGAATAGGGGATCAAGTCAATCACCGTCGAAAACTTATGACGTACCATTAGATTAATTAACTTAACAATGATTGAGAATTTTCTTCTCTTGTACCATTAGATCAAGTCAAGTCAATCACTGTGAATCATAGAATAAATACTTACTTTGAGCCTTCGAGTTTGAGGTGATTAGGTTACGGTTTGTATATGGTTTCTTTTCTTCACTTTGATCCTCAATGTGAAGAAAAACATGTTGCCCAAACCTTACTCTTCAATAATTAATGATCGTCAAGTTTACTATAACTCTTTCAGAATTAATCCTCCTTCCGTCCTTATTGCAAGACATTTTCTTTTTAAATTTTGTCTTTATAAAATTCTTCCAAATTCTATTATATTAAGTATTTTTTGATTAAAGTATATTTAATTATTTTGAATAAAATATCATATATTAATAAAATATATTTATTATCTCTCACGATGATCCGAGGATGTGACCTGCATGCATTAGTTGACTAGATAGATAGAAAGTAATCAAGGAAAACAGTCAGATGACGAGTCCAATAGCTTTAAAGGTAACTTTTTGAAAATAATACATATTGTTAGTAATTTAATTTTCTTAACTAAATTAAATTTAATGAGTGTGAATTAATTACAAGAGTCTTATGTTTAAGAACAAAGTGGGTATTTGTTCTTTGGTTGGATAACATGCATAAGTCCCCCATCATAGCCTTCGTTTAGTATGTGAAGGATAAAATAAAGAAAAATGATATATCCTCTGAAAATTCATTCCGAATCATCCTCCGACCCACTAAAAAATTCTTTTTTTAATTAAAAAAATTATAAATGTGAATTATAATTAATTCGGAGAAATTTTTGGTCAAAATTTCAGACGCCGAAGCATTCCTCTAAAATAAATACATACTTTGAGCCAATCAAGTTAGGATTTTTATGTGTTTTTTCTTTCTTTTCTTTGATCTCAATGTGAAAAAGTTGTCGGATCCAACCTTAGTCTAACAATTAACGATCATCTTCTCTTATCTTATACATATGTTTACTATAACTCTTCAAAATTAGTATACCGTTCCGTGATAAAAATAAATTAGTACCCCTTCGTCTCTATTTGTGAGACATTTTATTATTTATTTTAAATTCTGTCCCTTTTATAAAATTCTTTTAAAATTGTCTACGATAATATTTTTTTTTTGACTGAATACCTTGATTAAATTAATTAACAAGATAATTTCATTCTCTTATAAGGATCGAAGAACATGATTTACATACATTAATTAATTAGATAGAAAGAGTGAGATGATGAGTCTTATGATTCTAGTTATATCACTTTCAAAGCATAATACAGCATCACTAAGTGGTGTGTAAGTGTGAAAAGAGGCAAAAAAACGTAATACACTAAATGTTGTTGATCTTAGAGGTGGATATGTATTCGAGAAAGGAATGTGACCCAACCCAAAAAGGTTATATGGATGAGGGCGCAAGAAGCGAGATGCGTGCACACGGGTGAGAAAGAAAAGGTCCATATTTCAGCTAGTGCTAGGAGTACTCTCTCCAATACATATCATTTTTTATGGGTTTGCTACCCTGCAACACGTGGCAGAAGAGGACTCAAGGACTTATGTAAAAAGTATCAATATTGTTTTATGAATTATTAAATATTTCAAATATTTTTGTAAATTATTAAATATTATCTAATGTTAAAATTATTTTAATATGATTAACATCTGAAAATTCACTAATGTTTATTTTGTAAAGTTTAATATTAAAATTTTAGTTTATATATTAATTTTTATATATTAAACATGAACCTCTATCTTATGTAAAAATATTTTTAGGGATTTAACTTCAATAAGAGATTTTTTAAGAATTTTGTTAACTTTTAATCTAATTCATTTTTTTAATAAGTTTTTATTTATCCTATTTATTTATGAATTAAATTTTAATATTTTTTTAAAAAATTATTAATAAATAAAAATAATATTTGTTACAATATAAATTATTTATAAAAAAATAAAATATAATTTCTTTGTTTAAAAATATCTATTTATACAAATTTTGAAATATATGATTTATATATTCAAATATAATACTTATTTATATATTTTTTATTGTAAATTTTAGTTATATATAATAAATATTTAACACAAACTAAAATACTAGTATGAATATATTTATCTATTTATTTAAAAGTCAATTTTACATATAGTGAAAATTAAATTGACTTATCCAAACTAAAAATTAAAATCTAAAAAATTTTAGTTTGATTTATCCAACATAACACTTAATGAGTGAAGAAAATTTAAATCATAATAATTCAAATTTCAATAATTTCAAATCCCCTAAAATTTTAAACTTCCTCCAAATACAACTTAAGGATAATTAATACAAATTGTTAATATATTTAAATTTAATTGCACTTTTGGTTCCTCTACAATATTAAATTCACAATTTTGATTCCTTTATTTCTAATTCCATAATTTTAGTCCCTCAATTTTAAAAATCAACAATTTTATCCCTTTATTAAATGTTCATTCATCAATCATTTTAATGTTTGTCGTAACTTAATATTAGGTAAATGACAAAATGATTAATATTTAGACTAATTTACACTTCTTATTCTCATTTTTATCACTTTTTCAACTCATTTTACCACTTTAATAATATAAAAATAAGAATTGAAATTAAAATTTAACTTAAATATTATTAAATATTAATTATCATATCATTTATTTAATGTCTAATCATAACTAATATTACAATTTTAATAATCAATGGGTGAATATTCAACTAAAAAACTAAAATTATGGATTTTATAAAATTGAGAGATTAAAATTATAAAATTAAAAATATAAGGATCAAAACTAAAGAATTGATATTCAGATAGTGCAATTTAACTATAAATTTAATGTTGTCAACTTAACTAACTTCCTTAATGGGTGTAAATTAATTAAAAGAGTTTTATATTTAAAGTCAAAGGGAGTATTAGATCTTTGGTTGGATAGCATGCATATTCAGATGATTAATGAACGAGGATATGAATAAATAATTAAGTTTAGCTAGGTCAATTGTGGAATCTATGAGCAGTCCATAGAACGGCACAGATTGGCTTAACTGACCGATTGGGTCAATAAAATCGACAACCTATCATTTGATATTCAAGTTTTCCATCTTCGGACTCGTTTTGCCTATTTTTCATTCAATTGTTTGATCTAGTGTAATAGGAAACATGTTTTTTTTTTTTTTCCCTCTTTCCAACAAGACATGTCTGCTTATGTGAGCACACATCCTAGTCATTCATTGCATGTGCAAGAGATAATGGAATCATTTGGAAAATAATTTTTGTTTTTTTTTGTTTTGTGGTATAAGCCGAAAACATAGAGACTCAGACATACAACAGAAGTGATACTGTAGGAGTACGTGTGACAGCAATCCACTAAGCTCCCCCCATCATACAAGCAAATATGAGGGGCCAAAAATTAGACGCCTTTGCTGCTCTATGCAACATGAACCTAGAAATCGTTAGTACATAGACATCATCATCATTCTGCAGCATCATTACATTTAAATACCCCAATCCACACTAACTTCCCCCAACCCCTATTTTTGTTTTTTTTTTTTCCTTTTGTTTTTCAACTGTGTACTGTTTTCCTTCACATGATGACTAACAAACTACCAGAATGACGTGGGAGAACAGTCAGAGTTGGATTCAAGACATGAAAACCAACACATTCTCTCCTCTCTGACTCAATCATACATATCTCTCATCTCTTCACCTCAGGATCAACACCAAGCTGATTCCTTGTTCCGGTGTCTGCTCAGTCATTCGTGGCATCGAAGCTTCCCATGGCATTTGCTTTCTTCTTCTCTCTCCAATTCTCTCCCCACACTTTGGCTTCTGCCACTGCACGCTCTCGGTCCAGGTCGCGGTTCCAAGGACTCTCTCTTGCTCTTGCAGTATTTACAGGGCTGTCTCTCTGAGATTCCTGCCTTTCAGAATCATCCAATCCCCATTTCCTCCCTGATCCACCGCCGGTCTCACTCCTTGCCAAGTCGGTTAGAGCACTCGGATCCCTGCTGTCTCTCTTCCTGAAGTCAGGCGAGTTTCTGTGGGTGGAAGGGGAGCCAAGCCGGCCTCGGTCAGGGCTGTCAACACCATCTGCCATGCTCCTTCTGTCATCCCTGACCCTGGGGGTTGATGGGCCAACCCTGTTGGATTGATTGGCTGCATTTGGATCATATGTCTGTGAGGCCAGATATGTGAGAGCAGTCACCACATCCCCAATAAGAGGCCTTGTAGCAGCTTGTTCCTGTAGGCACATTGCAGCAACTGCAAGTGCTTGGTACAGTCCTCGCATTGGGTAACGGCCTTGAAGTAGTGGGTCGGCCATTTTGGGGAACTTTCGCCGGTCTTTGAAGAGAGGCCGTGCCTACAAAGTTCCATATCCCAACATTATGAAGACAAATGGTTGTAAATTTGTTGTGTTAATTTAGAAGATGATCAAAGTATTAACACAAACCAATTTACATGATGTATGACCTAGAAGGGGTGTTAAAAAAGAACCGAACTAAACTGAACTGAAATGGTAGTAAATTGAACTACACTAAACTATAAAAACTAAATTGAACTATTTTATAAAAAAAAAGAACTAAACTAAACTAAACTACTTTTATAAAGGGTAAAAACTATAAATTCTTCTACTTTTAATTGTTCCTATTTATATCATTGCAAAAGAAAAAATAATTCAGTTTAGTTCAAAATACAGTTCAGTTTAAATTTAAAAACAGTTCTCCAAACTAATATTTAATTCACCCGAATAGTTTTCTAGTTAGTCCTGATCAATTCAATTCGTTCAACATTTTTGAACACTCAGGTTAGAACTAACACAAGGATGATCAGGTTAGAAATACTTACCCATGCAACAAGATTGTGCTCTCCATGTGCACGTGTATTGTCAATAGCCTTACGCCCAGTAATGAGTTCAAGGAAGACAACTCCGAAACTGTAGACATCTGATTTCAGAGTTAGTTGCCCAGTCATAGCATATTCTGGGGCACAATAGCCATATGTCCCCATTACTCGTGTGGATACATGAGTCTTGTCACCAACTGGACCAAGTTTTGCCAGCCCAAAATCTGATAACTTGGGATGATAACCCTCGTCGAGAAGGATGTTGGATGATTTTAAGTCTCTATATATAACCGGGGGATTTGCCTTGTCATGCAAATATTCCAACCCCTTTGCTGCTCCAGCTGCTATTTTCATCCTAGTGTTCCAGTCCAAAGGTTCCTTATCAGGAGGAAGATCTGGAAAGAGATTCAGAGTCAGAAATTTCTCCAGTGAATAGGCTGAAACATTATACAGGTTAATTTCTAATAATAATATAACATTCAACTGAAAGCAATGTCTATTTGTTCATTTTATTTGCAAAATCAAAGCTCAATTGTCACTTGGACTATAACTAAATAGTAAAACAGATGAAATACCAAGCCTCATAGGTGACATCAAAATTTCAGATTTGGAATCAAATTTTACTAGAGTCATTGAAGACAAAAAAAATGCATAACAGTCGTAATTGAATTTTTTGGCAGAGAATTTTGTGAGGATCTCATGAGTCCACCCCCAGAGACCCCACAAAATTCAACACACACAAACCCATGAAGTTAGCAATACTCAATACCAGTGTTACTCCAAGTAACAGTTTGACAGAAAAACTGATAAAGTTTCCACTTTATGCTGATAAAAATTCAAATTATTTACTCCAAAATGTTATAAATAAAAAACTTGGCATACAATACACTTCGAATATTGTAGAAAATTATCTTGTATTTACTTTAGTACCCATGAATTTACCTGAAATTCAAAATGCATAATCACCATAATTATATCTCATGACTCATCAGTTAGGCCAATGACAACAAAATAAAGAATAAACAATAAGATAGACAGTAAGTTAGACATATTTTGTATAAATAGGAGGTCTCCAGGGCATGGGAGGCATTCAGATTAGAAAATATTGAGGATAGAGCAGTGGAGGTGTTGTAGAACTGTAGAAAGGGACACCCTTGGAGGACAGATTTTTCTTCTTGTTAATAAAAATGTTTTTGAATTTCTTGCTTTGCTTTGGGTTTGTAACAGGAACATCCTTTAAAAAGTTGTTTGGTGTGTTAAAGTTTTACATTAGTGGCATTGATCCCAATCCATTTATTGCCGAAACAATTTTCAAACAATGGATTTTATATTGAATCCTTTTCCTATCATTCCTTTGATTCAACTTCCTAGTGTTAGTTTATTACACAGTACTTAATTTAGTAGCATAATGCATAGCAGATGCTGATAAGCTGCAGAATTTTGCATGTGGTACCCTGCAGTAACTGTTTACCCATGATTTAATAATTAATTCCAATCTTCTTATGGAGTAAACATCAGCATTTGCTGGACGGTGGACCTTTCCTTGGCTACCCAAAGTGCGAAGCGCCATAGCCAGTTGTAGATGTACAAGATAAATTAATTTCATAGGAGAATATCTTTACGAAGACCTTGAAATCAAGTTCAGCACCTTTAAGCAATAAATATTTATAGGGAGTGGTCTGTGTAACCACCTAATGGATGAGATTCCAAGCAACACTCTAGATAGCTCAAAGAAACATCTAAATTCAGAAACTATACAAGTTAACTACTGCTCTCAGGAAAATTTAAACAAAACATAGAAAAAAGAAGGGAAAGAATAACTTTTCCCATGATAAGTAAATGAAATAATGGTTACCAGATGCTGAAGGAAAAAGTGGATTTCAATAGACATTCTATTTGTTGCTCAGAATTGGAATTGAAGTTCAGAATTATAAATTTCAACTCTAATTCTACACAATGAGAATTAGATAAAAAATGCCAATATGGCTATTAATAGAGAAATAGGAGACAGAGCTGCTACTAATGTCTTAAGGTATCTTCCATAGATGGGAATAGATTAATACTTTTTAGAAGTACTCAGATTCATATGTCGACCATTTGGCATTTGCTTAAAAATTTTGGACACTACCCATGGAAGGCAACATTGACAATGCACCTTTTTAAGCAACTGTCATTGTTTTGTGATAAAAGATATTTTTATTAAATGTTTCTAGATAACTATTTTATTCAACATTAAGGTAAATGAATAAACCATGCCAGAAACCAGAGAACGGCCAAGGTAAATAAATCTTTTGATTCTTTTTCTTTTGGGCAAGGGAAACAAAAACATATAACTGTATCCATTAATGCAGGGAAATGAATATACAAGCAGCTATCAGTAAGAGCATTAAGGGTGCATTTGGATAGAGCATAATTACGCACTTATTCGAGCGTTTATCATATAAACATGGCCATATGGATAAACAACTCAACTAAAGCCTTATTTAATAAATACTTATTTTGCAAGACTTATGTATAAGTTGTTTTTTTATAATTTAAATTGTTTTCATATAAGCTATAAGCTGTTTTAATAAGCTATCCTAGAGACTTATTAAAATACACTGAAAACAACTTGTAGACATACATAAGTTATTTTCATAAGCTCTCCCACCCAAACACTTGCACAAGTGCTTGTAACATAACGTATGCCCAACATAAGCTGTAAATAAACTCTACCAAATGGACCCTTACTTATAAGTTGTTTCTATAACTGGAGAAAATAGGATTGAACTGTTTTCATATAAGTTGCAAGTTATTTTTATAAGTTGTACTAGAGAACTAGTTGAAATAAGCAGAAAACAGCTTATAGACACATCATAAACTATTCTTATAAGTTCTCACAAGCACTTATACAACTGATTGTTTCTCAAGATAAATTGAAATGAACTGTAAATAAACTCTTCAAAATGCATCCTAATTTACTAGAATTGTAACATCCAACTCATCTTTTAGCCTTCTCCTTAACCAGTTGGGAACTTATTCGAGCCAAAATATGACATCAAATTAACAGGTATTGTACAATATTTATGGCTTATCTTATCTAACTACTACAAAGAAGATTGATTGAATGAATGATTAATAAAATTGACAGTCGAGAATATAAATGCCATCCTAAATCATCTGTTGTTGCCAGCCCAGGCCCCTAGCATAAGTAAGTCCTATCGAGCAAGTTCATTGCTACCATTATTGAAACCATATTCAGCTAAAAACCTCATTACTCCTACATTTCTTCTTTGAAATTTAAGACCTGATTCTAACTACTAGAACTAGCACCACTACTGTCTGAATTCTGCACCAACAATCTGGTTCTAGGAAGAGAGCCATTTCATCTAAGATATTTGCTTGGCAATGAGAAAACCATAAAGCTTTAAAGAGTCTAAAATGGTCTTCCTACTTCAATGACCATATATGGATTAAAAGCTTTTGTTGATTAGAAACAAACAATCTGTATTCAGCTAAAAGCATGCTTGTCTATGTCCATATGTGATTATGTGAATCACTCCCATACCCAATGGGTGTCAGGACACCACTCCTTGTGGCCTTACCCAAAAACTCTGAAAGCATACTAATAGACAGCCTAAGCAAACCTGCACATCCCATGAAGCTAAAAAGCTAGACGCAAAAAAGAAAGTCTGGCACATTGTTCAGAAACCGTAGCAAATGCTTTTATATCATATAGGATAAGAATTGCCAGAAGTCTCAAACTCAATTAAACCCTACAATAAATAATTAGCTACTACTCTTATAGTATTAGTCTAAGAGTATAAAAGGAAAATTGTCTTATTTCTGAAGGTGGTGCTTGAAAATATCCTCCTCCACCCCCTGCCCCTCACCCGCGTGATTTTCATTACAAGTTACATAAAAAACAAGTAATATTCTCTGCATTTGTGGTCAACCACTGAACCACCTCTATCCACCAGAGAAATTTAACTTTCACCATATAGATCAGATCATTATTTTCCGAAACACCAAATGTATATTGGTTTCACTTATTTTGGAGATATAGTAATTATTTTCTAGCTTCCTAAGAAAACTTTTGAAAAGGAAAAAAAAAAAAAACTATTCCCAAATATGGGCATAATATAACCATTTCCATGTCACATTACTTTTCTATCTCGGCAACTAAATAAACAAAGTGAAAAAGGTAGAAATCCAAATGAAATGACTGATCAATTTTCAACAGTCAAAAACAGTCCTCATTGGTCAATTTCCTAGCCTACTGATACATGTTTGCTCATTGAAGGTAATAACAAGTCAAAAGTAATAAGAGAGTTATATAATATAAAATTGAATTTTTCTCATTCAACAGATATCAATAACTGTCAGAACTTACATCATGATTTTATGAATCTGACCATTAACAATATTTCCATGTCATAAATCATAAAGCATCCATAATAGTGATGCCCTAAAAAATTCATGTTACTCCTTTAATCCTAGATGCCCAACTATGTTTGTGATAACGGTCAACTACCATCCATTTGAACAATGTAACATCATGTAAACAAGCCAAAATTTTCACAATATAAAATGTAAACAAATAAATAGAATAACATCAACCACACAATAGTTCAAGGTAACTATTATTAATCTATGACCTATTTACATGGGAAATTCTATTGTTTAATCAGAACATATGATGTTTATTCAAAGATATATGATCTCCTGACACACAACACACTTTCTCTAGTTCAATTGAATGGAAAAAACAGAAAATAGGTGAGAGATCTCTCCTCCAAGGGTTTTCCCTTCTCAAAGGATTTCTCCTTTTACAAAAAGCAAAAGCTCAATCTACAAATTAATAGATTTCTCCTCCAAGATAGAATGCCTCTCCTCTACATCCTCCTCCTATTTATTTGCCTCTCGAATCCTCTCTAACTGTCTTATCCTTCTCCTAACAAACTACAATAACTTTCCTAACTAACTTTCAAACTCCCAACACAAATTGATTTGTAAAAATAGAAAAATGTGGTGCATTTTCTCTCCTTTTTTAATGCCTCTGGAATGGTATATTTCATCCTTTGAGTTTTGAACCACATGATAACAATCCTTTTTGTTTTCTCCTGGCTTTCAAGTCACATACAGTTTCCCCGATTTTAATTAGAAAGGACACAGCCAAAACATATAAACGTAATTCTTTTGTTTGATAACAGTGAATTAAAGTCTTAACCATAGAATGAAAGAAATTTCCCATTCAACAAAGAATCCTACACTTTGGTTCTCCACTTTATCCTACAAGTTATAGCTTTCCTTTGACATGTAAGAGATTAAAAAGATTGAATCAACATGAAATTTATGAAGCCACAATAATTCCAAAAGCAAAGGTTTCAATTAAAAAGAAATGCAATCTGACCGTGTAAATGGTCCTCCAGAGATCCCAATGGCATAAATTCATAAACAAGCAACCGCTGATCACCATCAGCACAATAACCAATTAAGTTCACAAGATTGGGATGATGCAAGAGACTGAGCATGAGAACTTCCACTAAAAACTCTCGATTTCCTTGAAGACCATTTCGGTCAAGCTGTTTTACAGCAACTACCTGCAAAGAGTATGATTTCATCAACAAAGATTAAAAGGGAATTATAGTAATAGACCAATAATCAAGTGGGAAATTGACAGCAGACATATATACGGTAAACAGGTAAAGTGAAAAATGATGGATCCTTTCCATGTGAAGGCCTTAGGCTGGGCTTCAGTTTACTGTCAATCCAAAATTTTCATAGCAGGAATCACAACTTACTTGTCCTGTGCTCTCAAGGCGACCTTTGTATACACGTCCAAAACCTCCTTCGCCTAATAAACATTCTGGCCTAAAATTCTTTGTAGCAGCTGCAAGCTCTCGGAATGTAAATGTTTGTGCAGCAATATGGGCTGTTGGGCCATCCTTCGGCACTGGTGGTTCCTTCTTAGTATCTGAGCCACTTCGTGATGATTTTGATTTATCTAAATGGATAACAAAAAATAAGGAGTAAAAAGCTACAGAAGAAACATATTGGATAAACTTGAGAATAAAAATACGTAGAGAAGGTGATATCATGACGTTGATACTGCTAATCATCATAAAGTCACATTAAGTATAATTACACGAAATACTTGAACACAGCTTGAGGTATGCTGGTTTAAATTTCTCAATGACAATACTTTATCAAGGGAGTCTAGCTCAGATGGTTGAGATGGGTGCGTGAGTGTTGTAAACCCCTTTGGTAAATGTGTTAATTTCTTATGGATAAAAAAAAATCATATATCACATCTGGCCATCAGTTAGAATATGATTAAAGTAGTTTTAACAATCCCAATTGTCCAGCATCACAAATACCCGGCATAGATTGTAATTTTTCCGGTACCTATCTTCTGAATGAACTAAATGTTTCACTAGATAAGGGCATTCTGTACAAATCATCTAAGTTAAAACCTAATATTGTACAATCATCTGCTACATTGAACAATCTATAGAAAATGCAGCTATTGAATTGGACCCTACATCTGCCTTGCACTCCAGAATTGTCAAGAAAACAAACGGAAAACGTCATGAAACAATGTGATATACTTGTCACATCCAAAGGCAAGTGCAGATCCCCAACGATACCACTAGGAGCTCTTAGTAGACACAAAATTCAATTAAGTGAAGCTAAAGCACATCCACTACCCCTCAAACCGCTTCACTGGCAACACCAGCAGAAGCACAACCTCAGATGAACCAGATCAAAGCAACCAACAACTTGGATAGTAGAACAAGGCCATAAAACCCAAGAAAACAAGCAGAAAAGGGGAAATTGAGGACAATTGAAGGCAAGGAAGCAATGAAAGAGGGCAAAAGAAGAATGAGAAATAAAAATAAAAAAAAGTTGGAAAATTAGGAGGCAGACCTGAATGATGAGACTGAGGAAGAACAGAAGCTGCTTCTTTAAAAGAAGAGTCCTTGTTGGGAACCTCCTTCACCTTCACCTTCACCCTCACCCCACCACTGTCCTCCTTGTTGGATGATCCAAAACAAGGAAAACACCCACCCATATCAAATCCAAGCAAATCAAAGCCACCCCTCACAAAACCCACCAAGGAATAATGCCTCTCATAACCCCTCAATCCTCCAACACAGTCAAACTCAAAACTCACACACTCTCTCACAGACCCATCTCAGAAATCTCCACCAAGCACTCCCCTTTTTGCCTCTACAACTCACTCTGGATGCCCCTCAACGTGATCCTCATCGACACCAACATGCCCCGGAAGCAGATCAACCAATCGAAGAAAGAAACTGGAGTGGTGAAACACAACACAAGGTAAAGGAAGAATAATAAATAAAATAGAACATAGCCAAATAATAAAATAAAATAAAAATGCAAGGGAATTTTTTTTAATTTTATTTTCAAATTTGGAAATTTGAAGTGGAAATGGAGAATTATTATGAAGGTGGTAATTACTAATTAGGGAACACAATTGCGTTACACAATCTCTATTACGAGGTTGCCATTGGATTTTCCGAGCTGCTACTACGAAGTTTCACTTTCACCCTGCAACTCTCAATAATTACAAACATGTACATGTACATTTGTAGTTTTTAATAATCATCATCGCGGTCGGGGAGTGGGTCCCACCCTTACCATGTGTGATGGCCATTGCTAACACATGTTCAACTCCAACCACGACATACAATACAATACAACTTTGATTTTTATTTTTGGATTTTTATGTTGTTGAATTTTTAACTTCGACAATAATATGCCAATAAAATCATTCATTAATGGACTTTAAATTAAAATAATTTATGTATCATTGTTTTCTTTAAAATTCTGATGATAACACCTGTAAAAATTATTTAAGCTCAATTTTGTTGGCACGGAGGAGAGAGAAGAAAAGGATGGGATTGGGTTTGGGGGGCAATAGGTGATGGTTGAGCTACCCACTACCCCAAATTGTACCATACAAATCAGTATTGCTAAATTCTACACCTTAATTGCATATTTTAAAAATGCATATATTTTTTAATTATATTAACGTTGAAAAAAGGGATACAAGTATAATTTAATTTTTATTTTTAATATTTTAAAATAAATTTTCAATTTTAATCTAGTTAGAATATACAAATTTGAAAAAAATCACATCAAATCGAGACTTATTTAATCAATCTAAGATCTTTTTGTACTAATTTAACGCTAAAAAAAATTGAGATAAAATTTATAATCTTTCAAGATGTTTACAAGTTAAACTTTGGTGTAATAAGTAAAAATTATGATATTTAAGTGAATGTATAAAATAATGATAAAGTAAGGTAGAATTAGATGTGTATTTATGCTTATTAAACTTTAAACTCTTGTTGAGTTAGAATAATACTTTTTAATGATATATAAATGGTGTCTGAATATCAAATCCCCCAAAACACAATGGATGGATGGTCATTATTAATAGTTCATGGCCACATTTCTGTGTACATAATGTTAGCAAGGTTTATAAGCTTAGGTTTTCTTTTTCTCTTTTAATTATTCTTGCAATCAAATAAAAGTAAGAGTCAATTACTAAAACATCTCCAGAGTTTTGTAAAAATTACTTCAGATCCATCCATTTTTTATTCCTAAACAAAACACCCTAAATGTTCACATTTATTACATTTTACTCCCCTAACTTAGATAATCCTTGGTGTAAATACACGGATTCTAATTAGAATACAATAAAATAAGATAAAGTAGAATAACTTAGTGTGTTCGATAAAAAAAAGATGATTGATCCCTAAAATTACTTATTAGAGCTGCATAATCATACCTCAATTAATCCCACACTCTATGGTGTGTTGAATGGTTTTAATAATAGCATAATAGATGATTGATGATGAATCTACTTGAATGCAAAGTTTTTTATATTTCCTTTTCATGGCAATTTGATTCGAAGAAAAGGAATTTGAACTTTTGTTGTGGTGCATCCTCCTCCTCTCTCTATGTTTATTTATTTATTTCCAAATCCTTATTAAGTTGTTGACCAGTCCTCTATCTAGGTTTGAAATGGTAGTTCATGTTCCTTTTGTTACCATGAGTGGGTCACCTAATTTGTTCTAATATAATACATTTATTTTTTTTCTTTCGGTTTGCCCCATTATTATTCTTTTCATGCTAGGCTCTATCAACAATTTCTAACCCTTTTTTTTTTAATTTAATTTATTTAGAATTTTGGTTACGCGTATTATTGCATTACGAGTCCACACGTGATTGTGAATCACGGAGTTGTCTACTTAAGATAGCTAGCTGTGAATTTCACAAACGCAACTGCTTCCTTTTTTTACGCAACTCTATGTTCAACTATAATCCATCATTATTTTATTTTATTTTATTTTTAAGATTTTCAGTACAAATCTACTTTAAAAAATCTATAAAACGACAAAATTCGAATTCAATTATATATATATATATATATAAGCATTTCAATTTATTTATTTATTTAGATATTTGGAGAGCTTGTTTATTTAAATTTTGAAATTTGAAGCATGGGGTTTGACTGGTGGGTTAACGTTTTTAATGGTCTTAGGTTTTGTCCACCCAAATAGACTCAGAATATATCGATCTAATGAATAAGAATGTCTCCTCAAGTTAAATTTTGTAAAGTGGTGCCTTAATAAATGAAGTAAAATTAATAAATTCAATCTTTCAATCATAAACAATCATAATTGTTTTTTTTATAAAAATAATTCACATAATATTTTAAGATTAACAAATAAAAATTAATTTATACTCACAAATGTAATTTTCATTAACCAAATATAATCATAATTATATAACATGGAATCATATACTTACACTTATATATATTTTTATACAAGATATTTATTTATATATAATTTTTACCAAAAGATATTTACTTATATTTAAACAAGTATATTTTTCACTAACATAAATGCCGTAATAAAATATTAAATAGTTTTTAGTTATATAATTTTTTTTATACATTTTATTTATTCTATAAATGTTCTAAATTTAACAATGAAATTATTATATTTTGTAAAAGAATTATCAAAGACGTCATTTTATCAAATTTTGATATTGTTGATACCTACATGTGAAAAATCTAAAGCATATATAATTTTTTTTTTTTTTTTTATCTCAAGTACCTCTCAAATTTATTGGGTTGAAAACTAATTCCATTCACGATATTATGATTGTTACATATCCAAAAGATTTTTGCATACAATATGAATATGAATATTATTTTTTTTATCCTATTGTATCTTTCTTCCTAAGATTACTTGGAAAAAAATGTTGGAACAAGCCACATTCATAAAGTATTTCCATTGCAACATAAGTTGATGTGAGATAGTTGCGTATTTATGTCAACCAAATAAATATCATTATCATTAGTATGATGGTAGACTTTCCTTTGAGCTATAATACGTCTCTTTACTCTTTAGTTAGTTGGGATGCTCATTTTGATTATATATAATTAGCAAACCTATTTCAATTGTTTTGTTGACATTCAAATTTTTTGGGTTAGCCTTCATCTTAATTAGTAAATGATTTCAATTATTTTGCTATTAAAAGAAAGCTTCATTTTCCTCCGAGTCTGCACTTCATGTTTTGTTTTCAATCAAAACAATAATGAATATACAAGGTGGGCAGAGCATCTGTACTCGACAATAACTCATCATTGTAACTTTTATCACAAAAATTTAAAAAACATCAATGTGAGTTTGTTATTTCAAGCTATTTTGAAATGTTTTTCCAATAAAGAAATTCAATGTGTTTCATGGGCAAACTTTAGGTGTTGTACATATATACCCATATTCTGTAGAAAACAATTGAGCATCACCACCTCGTTGTAAGAAATATATAAAATTTGTTTGGAATTCTTTAGTATTGTCGTGTTAAAAACATTAATATGATTAAATTGGAGCAACGAATTCCATATCCATGGAATTTTTTTTTGTCTATTAAAAATAGTGAGTTGCACATCTTAATTAAAATATATTATTATAAAGGATTGATCATAACAAAATTAGTGCACAATAAATTATAAAAATATATTTCTTCCATTTTTTTTATAGTCGTTTTGTCAGTATTTGTTATTTTTTTTCATTGTCACTTTTCTAAAATCAATGACTCATTAATTTTCTTTTTCATTTTTACCATTGATAATTAATGTATATTTATTGAACAATATGTCTATTCATTTTTCAATGTACATATTTATTCTTTAACTACCTAAAAGGCATAACATACCTAAAAGACATAACAGGAAAATAAGTAATAAATACTTTGAAAAACTAAAATATTAATTATTTTATTAATTCTTGTGCATAACCTTGAAAAAAAATGGAGGGAGTAATAGATCTTAATTGCACTTTTTGTTACATATACTTATGATTTTACAATTTTTATTAATTAGTCTTTAAAATTTTTCTAAAATCAATGACTCATTAATTTTCTTTTTCATTTTTATCATTGATAATTAATGTATATTTATTGAATAATATGTCTATTTATTTTTCAATGTACATATTTATTCTCTAACTACCTAAAAGGCATAACAAAAAAATAGGTAATAAATATTTTGAAAAACTAAAATATTAATTATTTTATTAATTCTTGTGTATAACCTTAAACGACAATGAAAAAAAATAAAGGGAGTAATAGATCTTAATTGCACTTTTTGTTACATATTCTTATGATTTTACAATTTTTATTAATTAGTCTTTAAAATTTTTCACATTTTTTTACGTGTTAGTTAATTGTTGACTTAACATATCAATTTTTTACACAACATATTGATTACTTGTATGAATTACTAATTTATCAAATAAATAATAACATGACATAAAATAACATTAACGGTTAATGTATCATGTCAATTATAACACGGTGCTGGATAAGCTGTTTAGAGTTTAGTTACTCTAAGGGAAATATATATATATATATATATATATATATATATATATA